CACACACACACACACACATGTTTGTAGATTTTCCATCTTAGGACTTACTAGTTAAGCTTGAAGACAGCAGAGAGCTACAGTTGATTGAGAAGTGGCTGTATTCTGGGAAAAAATGCGTAAATGGAGTGAGTCAGGGCTGTCCCCTGGAGGGGCCTGGGCCAGTGACTTGGCTGACAATGGGATAGTGCACAGTCCGGGCAAGGTCATGACTCCCATCTGGGACAAATCTATCACACAACACTAAACACATAATTATATCTGCCGTCCCAGGATCATATTGAAATAAGTAAGCATTGATCATCGACCAGATAAGAGGACGGTAGTTTAGAACTAAAAGGGAAAAATCTTTGGAATTCTCTCTGTTGCTCCAGGGAGGTTCCATGACTCTTCTGATTCTATTTAGAGTTGGCATTGCTGCTCCTGGTTTCCTTCCTCCCAGGAACAAACACATTTGATAGATTCTACTGAATCATCCCAATGCCAAAGCTCGGGAACGTTCTAGTCTGCTTCCTTACGGCAGACCAGCCTTGCAAAGGCAAGCGTCTTCAGTTCTTTATTATTTTCTGATTCTCAGAGTTGGGGCTTTTCTCAGTTTTACTATAGAAACAAAGAGCCACAGAGCACAGTGCTGACCAAATATAGACACTGGGTCATCTTTGTTACTACTCGGAGAAAAAGTATGACAGAAACACTAGCAAAGGCAGGATTAATTAAAAACCACAGCAGAGTATTGAAATAGGAAGACCTCACTAACATTTCAGAACCAGTCAGTGCAAGTGTGGTGGATGTGTGTTCTGATCTAACTCTGCCTGTTTCACGGGTCGGGTAGAATCAATGGAGATGGCACAGTACTGGTTATTACCAACACAGGAACTCGGAATCACTAGCCTGGAAGCACCAGGAGCCTTCCAGAACATTCCCTCCACTCCAGGCCCAGGCCATCCTCTGAGTACTGTATGGGGGCTAGCAGCACTGGGAAGGACAGTGCAGGCAGCAGGTTACTCCAGATGCAGCTTAGTTTGGCTATTTGGACCCATGTCCACCTCGTTCATTATGTTAGTACTTTAAGATTCGTTGGTAGATTTATTTGTTTGTTTGTTATTTATATTTGCAGTCCTCTCACATGGTAGATAAGTACACGACTCCTGAACAAGACCTCCAGTCCCTGGGTACATTTACCTTTTTGAATGGGAAGTAGTATTTACTGACTTAAAATAGTACAATGTAGAGGTAACACTGCTGTTTCTTATTATGAAGCTAGACTTCCATCTTATTTCCACAGACTCGAGCAGGGCCTCATAATGTCTTCGCACAGGTCAACAACCTGACACCAAAAGGATTCTGACCCCTTAGCCCCTGGTTCCATTGGTGTCTGAGCCACCACTAGACATTCCATTGCGTTTATTTATTTATCCATCTCACGGCATGTTTCTGGCAGTTAACATTATGTAATATGGTGGGTGTTTACTGTCTTAGAGTTACTCCTGCTGTAATGAAACACCATCATCAAAAGCAACTTGGGGAGGAAAGGGTTTATTTGGCTTACACTTCCACATCACAATCAATCCATCATCGAAGGCAGTCAGGACAGGAACTCAAGCAGGGCAGGAACCTGGAGCCAGGAGCTGATGTAGAAGCCATGGAGGGGAGCTGCTTACTGGTTTTGTCTTCTTGGATCGTTCATCCTGCTTTCTTATAGAACCCAGGACCACCAGCCCAGGGATGGCCCCACCCACAGTGGTTTGGATCCTCCCCCATCTATCACTGTTCTGTTGCCGACAACCTAATCTTATGGAAACATTTTCTCAATTCTAGTTCCCTCCTCCTAAAGGACTCTGGCTTGTGGAAGTTGACATGAAACCAGCCTCACATCTGTGTGGAGTGAAAAGATAAGCAAGGGGGTCCGAGGTAGGCTGGAGGAGAGGGAGAAAGAGAAGTGTGGCGTGGTGTGAGCTTCACTCGGCACTTCTCCCGAATGACTGCACTGGAGGGTGCGTGGCATTACACACCTGCTAAAACCCACGAGATGCGGTGTGAGCCCAGGATAAACTATGGATGTGAGTAGTACAGTGCATCAGCATTGGTCATTCCCTGCACCAAGCGTGCTGCACAGATGCCAAAGTGTAAAGAATGGGAGAAACTGTGAGTGGAGACGGGAGGGAAGAGGGCACATAGGAGCAAGATAGTTGTGGTTTACTTTCCTTGTATACTTTAAACTGCTCCAAAACAAACAAGTCAACCCAAAGTGCAAAAAGACGAATCAAGATGATTTAGGTGAGCTAGTCATATAATGTGTTCTTCTAATCAATGGAAAACCGACTCGAACCAGAACAGGTCAAAAGGTAAATGCTACAGGATGTCTTTCTGTATGCTGTGAATATGTGTGGCTCCCATTGGATAATAAGTAAAACTGTTTTGGCCTATGGAAGAAAGCTTACAGCCAGGTGGGAAAACCAAGCAGAGACACATAGAGAAGAAGGGCAGAGTCGGGAGAGACGCCAGCAGCCACCCAAGGAGCAATAAGATGTCAGCAGACCGGTTACATCACAACCACGTGGCAACATAATAGATGAATAGGAATGGGTTAATTTAAGATGACAGAGGTAGCTAGCAAGAAGCTGAAGCCACAGGCCATACAGTTTGTAATTAACATAAGCCTCCAAGTGATTATTTTATAAGCATCTGTGGGGCTGCGGGTGGGAGAGATCCGATGGACTGTGGGGCTGGGCGGAACCAAGAAACTTCCCCTACAGGTAAACGAGCTGATGTGTTCCCACAAGCCATGGGAAGCATTAAGAAACCCCAGAACCTGTGACCAAAACACTCTTTCCCATCTTTGTGGCATGGATAGGTTGATTTTCTTCCTCATGCCCAAACCATGGGTACCAGCTCCAGCTCACAAGCTTTCAGCCTCAGCACAGTGGGACAGGCCTCTTTCTCATCCAGTGCTTTCTTAGGCCCCATGCCCCCGACCCCGACCCGGGCTAGCCTGACCCAGTCACGGTGTGGATGGGGCACAGTCCGTGAGCATGGGCACGCACAAGGCAGGAAACAGGTAGACAGGACGGACCCTGCTACAGTTACATTGACCACAGATGACAGTGCCATCGATGACATAGATGGCACTGGCAGTGGGGAGAGGTGGGCAGAAAAGTGACACAGTCGTGGGTGTGATCTACCAAGGGGGCTCCTGAACTATTGAGATGTTGGTGTAAAGTGTAAGAGAAAAGAGTGACTTCAAATGTTTGTCTTAACTAGCCCAAAGGTGGAGTTGTATCAACGGAACAGAAGAATGTTATGGTAGCATAGGTTGGGAGACATCTGGTTCATTCTGTATATATTATGGTCTGTTAGCCATCTAATTGGAGATGTCAATAGACAGTGGCTATGGATGTGTGTCTTCCTCTGGGCAGTCACATAGAACTGCTTACTGGCTCTTAATTCCTCTGGATTGCAAGCTCGATCAGATCTGGGACTTTGCCTGTTTCGTTCACTGCTGTACATCTAATACCTAGCAGAAATTTTATGAGAAAGATAAAGGAGGGATGAGCGAGTTAATTGTTCAGTACAGCAAAGCAGGGTGATGGGGACTGGACTACAGGACAAGCAGCTGTTCCAAAGTAAAACTGCTTGACTGGCAGTTACTAAGGAGAAATTTGAAAGACATTGTATAACAGACACTCCCTGGAAGATCTACTTAAAATGAAAGACATATCGGCACTGGTGGTAGTTCCCTGAGTTTGAGGCTAGCCTGGTCTACAGAATGAGTTCTAACAAAGTCAGGGCTATACAGAGAAATCTTGTCTCTGGGGGAAAAAAAGATAAAAGGAGAGAGAAAGACACTCGCAGTGCTTCTGTAAACCTTTATTTTATGTTTAATGGGCTACCACCAATGTAGGCCCTTAGATTCTGGCTCATTTCTACAAAGTTATTTGTTGGAAATACAGTAAAGGTAGAAATTAGAACTGTCTGTATGAGTGAACCATCATTACCAGTCCATAAACAAAATGCACACAAAAGCCTGTGTATTCAGATCTATGATGTTCCGAATTTAAAAAATACATCCTATCTGTAAAAAAGCATTTTTAAAAAGACAATGGTCTAATAAACAAAACGGTGTGTATCTATGTCTAATTAGAGGCATGTATAAGTGTGTGACACTCCAGTGGTGTAATGGGACTTGGCTACTAACACACAGAGGGCAGCATGTCTCAGCCCTGAAATTCAACCAGAATCCGATGCATTAACTGTAATAAAATATGACACAGAAGTTAACATAGCTGGTTTTCCACCAATAACCTGTCTGATGGCATATGACAGAAACTCCAGGCAACTTGTCAGCTGCAACACAGTTGAGGATTAGAACAAAGTAATACTTGGCTGGGGATGTAGCTCAGTGGTAGAGCGCTTGCCTAGCATAAGTAAGGTCATGGGCTTAATCCCCAGTGCAAGAAGTAAAAGAAAACACACACACACACACACACACACACACACACACACACACACACACACACACAAAAAAAACAAACAAACAAACAAACAAAAAAAAAACCAAAAACCAAACAAAAAACAACCAAGGAAATAAAGAGAAAAGTATAACACTTCCAATATAAAACTCTTTGCTCCGGCATGGGCAGCCCTATGACCTTGAATATTGCTTTTTGAAATCATCCAACCTAACAAAATCCCCTACTCTTAGCTTATGACTCGTTCCCTTGCATGATGCTGCCCGTAATCTGTAATGGTAACTGGGCCACAAATATGGAACACTTGAGATTCTCATGTGAAAAAAACTGAGCAAAGTGGGTTGTATGATGAACAGTAAGCTAGAATCCACTCCCAGTATGTGCTTTGGCACAAACACAGGGTATTTTGAGATTATATTAAATCCATATGTACCATAACACACACGCGCGCGCACACACACACACACACACACACACACACACACACACACACACACACACACCACTCCATAGAGACTGTCACAGAAAATTTGGCTAAAAGAAATTTACAATTATTTATATATTTATATACACACAAAATAAAAGACATTTGTCATGCTCACAGTCTGTAAACACCCGGGAAAATGCCCAGTAGAGTTACTGTGGGCCCTTTGAAATGGTGACCACTGGGAACCCGGAGACAGGATGGAGATTTAGGTTCCTATCAGGGAGGAGCAAAGAGTTAAAGGTTCTTGCAGGTATAACTACATTTCACCCGACACAGTCAGCTCATTCGGCCGCGTTTGAAATGGTTTCCTGTCTGGAAAAAGGAATGAGCAGGAAAGCCCTGCAGCCAGTCATCACTGTAGAAGAAACTGAGAGCACGAAAGGGACTAGGTATTATATATGTGCTACTATTACAGAACTTAAAGAAAATTTCAGGTCCTCAAAAAATATTCAGCATTTCCCTCTTAGGTATGCATGGCACCCGGGAGTCTCAGGCATCCTTCAGTGACTCATTGAAGCCTTAGGACATGGTTTCACATTAAAAGATGGTTTATGAAAAATAGAACCATTGGATGTCAGTATTATTATTAATCATTATTATTGTGAGGTGGAATCCTTCTCCTCACTGCAGACAGTTTCCCACTCACAGTTATCCCACTGCAGCCTCCCATGTGATAAGAGCATTAAGCATGTGGCATGTGCCATCTCACCCAGCTCAAGTATTACTTTTTAAATTTAATTTAAAAATATGCTCAAGCCAGATGTGGTGGTGCAGTCCCTTAATCCCAGGCCTTGGGAGGCAGAAGCAGGTGGATCTCTGTTAGTTCAGGCTATCTTGGCTTACATAGCAAAACCTGTCTCAAAATTAAAAAAACAAGATCCAAATATGCTCTAATAAAAACATAGTTAAACAAAAAGGAAGGAAGGAAAGAAAATACAGATTCTTAGGAATTCCTTGGCCAGTAGCTGTTAAACTGCTCTGGCGGTCACCAGTCTGGCTGTATTTGTGGCAGTTCTAGAATTCATGTTTTACAAATAAAACTGTGATGCTCGTCTGATGCCTCCTCTCCTCCTCTTCTTAGTATATGTAAATAAGATAGAACAATCATTTCTATGGTATCATGCAGTTATAAAATACTAACTCTGGATGACATTTCCAAAAGACTACTTTAACCTCACAGTGTGTTTGGCTAAAGAATCTTGTCACACTCTCTAAACTCTTTTTATCTGTTTGTGTTTCTGAGACAGAATCTCCTATAGCCCAGGCTTTTCTGAACCATGCAGATGAGGCTAACCTCGAACTCCTGATCACCTTTACCTCACTTCTTCAATTCTAGGGTTATAGGCGTGTGCCAGTAAACCCAGCATAACCTCTAGATCAGTGGTTCTCAACCTTTGGGGGTTGAATGACCCTTTCAGAGGGGTCACCAAAGATCATCAGAAATATCAGATATTTACGTTATGATTCATAACAGTAGCAAAGTTACAGTTATGAAGTAGCAACAAAAATGATTTTATGGTTGAGGGTCACCACCACATGAAGATCTGTGTTAAAGGGTCACAGTGTTAGGAAGGTTGAGAACCCTTGCTGTAGAGTCCTGTGATGAGCATTCTCAGTGGCTATTCCACAGACCTGCATGAACGCTGGTTATGAGCTTGCAAACTCTGTGTTCATGCAAAGCTTGCAGATACAGTGTGGTTTCCTTCAACAATCCCCTTTCTCCCTCAGCTGTCATAATTTTCAAGTGTTGGATATGACATGCAAAAAATGCAAATCATATAAAGTACTTAGGAAAGACCCACTGACTGTGGTTGGAAGGCACTCCACCACATGCTGTTGGGAGGACAGGAGAGATTTTCTTTTCTTGGGATGGGTTAGAGGACCAGGGGAGAGAATTTGGGAGGTTTGGGGGACCGCTGCTGTGTGACTATCTCCTCCACTAGGACTTGAAGACTCAGTGATTGGTGTTTCTGCAGAGGGTTAGTTCATGCTGTCCTTGTGGCTGCTCCGTTCTGTGTTGTGGTTGTTCTGGTCATGGTTCTTCCACTGGACACTTGTTCCATTCATAGGGACCGAGGTCATGAGGCTTTTGGACTGGTGACAGCAGCAACAGAGGCATGACTGGGGTGGGAAAGAGAGAGTGTGTAAATGAGGCCGTCAGCCTGCCTCCCCATCCCTAGCCACACATCAAAGCCTGGGCCCCATGAGGGAGGGGTCAATGCCTGTGGACAACCGAGGACAGCTGGAGCTTGTCAGGGCCAGGCAGAGATTAGGAGCAAGGGTCTCTTGCTTTTCATTGCAACTGTGTTCTTCATGGTCAAGAGGAGGGACGGCAGTGCTGGTTGGATGGGGGCTCTCCAGGGCATGAGGAGTGTATTCCTCATGTGGTGCCCGGCATCTATCAGTACCTCAGCTGACACTCATGCCAGCCCCGGCTGTAGGCGCTGTTGATAGCTCTTTATGAAGAATGATCGTGGGGCCCAGGGATGTAAACTACAAGGCAGGGCTCTCCAGATTGGATCTTTCCCTTGGCCATTCCCTTAGGCACGTGTTTAAATTTCTGAGGATTTTTAAGAGGAAATTTCCCCTGCCCTATAATTAATATATAAATTAATCAGCAAGTGATATCAAATGCAGCATATGAAAATACACTAGTTAGGACCTGTATGTGAGCCAACCTAGTCCCAGCACTTTGTGATTTGTAACCTTTCCAAGGACACCTCAAAGTCACAGCACCTGAAGCTCCATTATCAACTCTCAGCTGCTCGTGCCATGGGCGATCTGTCTGTCTGTTTAGATCGTGGGTTCTGTGAGAGCAGTTACCATGTTTTCCCTGTCTATGTTAAACAATAGCACACTCACACTAGGTACTTATTGTGTGTCTGTCTATCTATCTATCTATCTATCTATCTATCTATCTATCTATCTATCTATCTATCTATCATCTATCATCTCTGTGGTAGTTTGAATGTAATTGGCCCCATAATCCCATAGTCATAGGGAGTGGCACTATTAGGAGGTGTGGCTTTGGTGGAGTGGGTGTGGCTTTGTTGGAAGAAGTGTGTCAGAGTGGGGGCGGGCTTTGAGGTTTCATATACTCAGGATGCCGCCCAGTGAGTCAGTTGACTTCCTGTTGCCTGCAAGATGTAGGACACTCGGCTCTTTCTCCAGCACCATGCCTGTCTGCATGCTGTCATGCTCCCCATCATGATGGACTGAACCTCTGAACTGTAAGTGAGCCACCACAATTTAAATGTTTCCTTTATGAGAGTTGCCATGGTCATTGTGTCTCTTCACAGCAATGGAAACCTAACGAAGACACATATCTATCTATCTATCTATCTCTCTATCTATCTATCTATCTATCTATCTATCTATCCATCCATCCATCCATCCATCCATCCATCCATCCATCCATCCATCCATCCACCTACCTATCCATCCATCAGTCATCCACACTAAGTTGTACTTATTGGATGGTGATTTAGCTCATCTATTTTTCAGGTGAGGTGACTGAGGGAGCTGGAGGGGACGCCATTACAAGTGAGTGAGACTATTAGCAAATGCTGAGCTGTGCTGTCAGCCACGGTTGGCTGCTTCTTCCAGCGCCTGTACCCTGACCTCTGCTCTGTTCTGTATAATATGTACTCTGACCTGAAGTTAGCCATCTTGGTCCAAGGTAACAGAACCAGTAAACACTAGGGCTATGCTACATTCCAGAACTGGAAAGTGACACACCAATGATGTGCCTGCAGCTCCTAAAGATGTTGTTGGCTTGTCTGGAAGGAGATTTGAAACAAGAAAGCTGACGATGAGTGAAATCACAGTAGTGTAGATGTCCAGAGTAATAAGTATTTACTTTTCTTGGAGAGGCTATTATTTATTATTTTTAAGATTTATTTTTATTTTATGTGTATGAGTGTTTGCCTGCATGAGCACCATGTGTGTGCTTGGTGTCCAAGAAGACCAGAGGAGGGCACTGGATGCCCTGAAACTTGAGTTACAGATGGCTCTAAGCCACCATGTGGTTGCTGGGGGCAGAAACTGGGGCCTTCACAAGAGCAGTGAATGCCCTTAACTGCTGGACCACCTCTCCAACTCAGAAAGGTTGTTATTAAATACACCACTTAATTGCTTTTAGTGAGAGCTTTCTCAGCCTCAGAGACTATGTCTGCCTAAGACCAATTAAAGTCTAAGACAAGGAAAGGTGTGAATTGGCTTTCTGTATTGTAAATGTGTGTGCTTATATTTGAGCATTCCTTTTGAAGAGAGACTCTGAACTGGCATGCAAGTAGGCCAGTCCTTTTGGCTTTACCCTGTGAACATGTCATCTGAATATGTACTGATCTTCTGCTCTCTTGACAGTCGGACCCTCTTTCTAGGTAACAGGAAGTGATTTTCACTTCTCCAATGAAGAGGGACATGCCCGATCAAAGCGGGGCTAAACGGAATTGGCTATGCCAGTTGGGCACAGAGTATACTGATCTGGCAGCCCTGAGAGAGAGAGAGAGAGAGAGAGAGAGAGAGAGAGAGAGAGAGAGAGAGAGAGAGAGAGAGAGAGAGCTTGCAAGACAGTCTTACCTGGAAACAATTTTTGAATTTCTTGCTCACAAAATATAGAGCTATTGGGTTTATGCAAGAATTCATGGTTGCCAAGTTGATACCGATGTAATCCATGAGCAACAAGAAGCTAGAGCAAAAGAAAACAGTGTCATTAAAAAACACTGCTTTAAAATCTGCTAAACAGCATTTATTCCCCACACCAGCATTTCTGCTGCCTCAAGGCCATATCTCATGGGTGGCGGGTAGAATTGTGTAGGAAGTACTGCAGGGCAATGCCTCGGTTAACAGAAACCCCCAAGCACAGCTTCAGGAAGGTAGCGGCAAGATCATAGACAGGACCCGCACAAATTCTGGGGCCAGTTATGGGTTGTGTCAGCTAAAAACATATAATTAAGTTTGCAATTTTAAATTTCAGAGCTGGTAAGAGTGTAAACATCCTATAAATGTGAAAGGCTGGGAAACTGTTTCCTGCGTGGGCACCTGGAATCATACCTGAGCAGTTCACATCGGTTCTTATCCATCTCATCATACACAGTCTTCTTCAAAATGCGGCTTAGGTGAAGAGGGAACCAGCAGAGGGCAAAGATGACGACCAGACAGAACACGGTCTTCGCCACTTCTCGACGCTAAGGGGAAGCGCACGCAGACAAGGTAAAGGTCAGTGCTGTCGCATGGCAGAAATAGCGACATACTAGACGGGAGGAGACACCAGAGAAGAGTCAGGAGAATGGTCCTCACACGACGTCTGTTTCTTAAGACCTAGAGTGCAACTGTCTTGTGGAGGAGTTGTTAACCATGCCTTTGGGCAGCTGCCAGGCTCGAGATGTCCCAAGGACAACAGCAGAGGTCTATGCCAGGAGGAAGGCAGGAACTGGCCAGAGTCAACACCATGGCTGAATGTAAGCATGATGGCATGTGTGCTTGTGAGTCTAAGCATGGGAGCATGTGTGTTTGTGAGTCTAAGCATGGGAGAATGTGTGTTTGTGAGTCTAAGCATGATAGCATGTGTGTTTGTGAGTCTAAGCATGATGGCATGTGTGTTTGTGAGTCTAAGCATGGGAGCATGTGTGTTTGTGAGTCTAAGCATGATGGCATGTGTGTTTGTGAGTCTAAGCACGATGGCATGTGTGTTTGTGAGTCTAAACATGATGGCATGTGTGTTTCTGAGTCTAAGCATGGGAGCATGTGTGTTTGTGAGTCTAAGCACGGGAGCATGTGTGTTTGTTGAGGCATGTGTGTTTTGGAGGAGAGCGGATGGTAGCAGGCGGATACTTAGGGGCTAGTTGAAAGCTGGGTATCGGGCAATTGGCCTAGTGATGGAATGACAGCCAAGGCGACTGGACACAGCACGAAAATGGACAAGTACAGAGACAGCAACCCATTTCCACTCGTGTCTGATTTTGAAGCTACCTTTGGAAATGCTTTGCTTTTGTTTACTTATTTTGTCTGAGACAGGACTTGCTTTGTTGCCCATGCTGGTTGTGAATTCCTGGGCCCAAGAGATCCTTTTGCCTTGTCTCTCTTGTGTTTAGATTATAGGCATGTACTACTATGCCTGGGTTGAAATTTGCTTTTAATTTCAAAATTCTTTTTTAATGACATATAGTTTCCAAAGACCTGCTGTTTGCAAACAGGAGCTTACAGGGAGGGGCACCGCAGTGATGGTTAGAAGCACTGGGCATGCTCTCCAGGGACCGACTCCAGCTGAAGCTCTACAGTCTCCGCGTCTGCTCGTGGTCTGAGCAGCCATAGGTTGGGAATCATCTCTACCCTTCATTTGTGTCCACACCCTGAGGCACCCCACACACATTTAGAAGGAGAACTAGGGACATAAAAATGCAACCTGTCTGTAACTGGGCCAATCAACCTCAAACAAAACTGACTGCAAACAGGCTGGAAAAGGATTCTGGAAAATAATGCTGGCTCAAACTGAGGCATCTAACATTAAGTTCAGGAAGCCTAGAATAAGGATACCCGGTTGAGCCCGTCACAGAGACCACTGTCCCAAATTGCTGCTGCAGGCCAAAGAATAGGAGCCTTAATACCCCACAGTCATGACACCAGCTGGGATGTGGTTCCAGAGAGATGTCTGGAGGAGGGACATAGAGCATTCCCATTTGCAGGGCTGGGGGCTTTGTAAAGTTGTTTTTGTTGTTGTTTGTTTTGTGTTTTTGTTTGTTTGTGAGACAATGTTTCATTCACTATTTATCCTTGGCTGGCCTGGGGCTCACTGTGTTGACCAGGATGGGCTTGAACTCAGAGATCCACCTGCCTCAGCCACCTCACTGCTCGATTAAAGAAGTGCACCACCACACCTGGCCTTAAAGGGTTAATTTTGCACCTGAAGTATCTGCAACATCCAAGCCTGAACAAAGTCAGGCTAGTTTCTCAGGGTGAACGCGGCTGTCAGTCAAAGGTAATAGCTCCCATTTGTGTGACACAGACTTCAGAGAGCACACATGTGCACATCCTTTCCTGAGATTCTCATAACAGCACCGATTCTCGTATGGCTACGGCTGAAGCTCAGGAAGGAGCAGTGGTTGAAAGGGTGCTGATGTGTGCTCGTGTGTGATAACTACATGGCCAGCTTTAAGGACTCCAGCAACAGCCTCTGTTGCCTCTCGTTGTGACTGAGTGCTCGTATATATTCTCCCACTGCTACCAGGAACCTACTCCGCTCCTACTTAACTCTGTGAGTCAACGTCAATTAATTATTTGCTGAGTGTCTACTAGGAACTGGACACTATTAGGTACCTTACATGCCTTTGGCAACCTACAAATATATTATTACGTACTTATGAGAAACCAGAAGCGTAGAGACACGGAGTAATCTGCCCAAGGTCACGTGACCAGGAAGTTTAAGAGTCAGGTTTTGCCTTCTAAAGTCTCAAAGTACACATAACTGTTCTTGCGAGCTGCTGCCTGAAAGACTCATTAGCTCCCACTGGCATGTTCAAATTCCTTCTAAAATTTTGGGTCCTCCAAGACTTCACCTCTTTTCCCGTGTTCAGTCAGATTTCCTATCATTTATTTGAGGTACTGATCTGATCAAACTCATTTCCATTTTACTCCTCCTGATGGCCTGGTGTCCATCCCACGTTTTCCCGGGGCTTTTGTCCTCTGCTTTCCCACCAAATGACATTTATCCTCACTGTCCCCAAACCACAGACAGTTCTCCATAGTTCCACTTCGTACATGCCCTGGCTTTGTACTGTATGGCTGCTTGCATTGCACTTCGCCATCCTATTTTCTAATTGCTTGTATTTGCATTTTATTCCACAATGACACTGCAAAGCCCACGAGGGGAGATGGCCACGTGCATCTTTCTGTCTCGGAGTAGCCACAAGTCCACTTCAGTGCATCCACACACACATGGCGAAATAATCACGAGTTAACTCTCTTTAAGCCCTGCCTCGCAGGCCATCTGGTTCACAGGCAGGATTCCTACTTCCCAAAAGGAATTCCTAAGGCTATATAAAGAGAGCAGCTATGAGAGAACGTTTTTATTTTTAGAAAATCAGCATAAATCTGTTACATACGACGTGGTCATGTACCACTTAAAGACAGAGATATGTTCTGAAAAATGTGTAGCTAGGCAATTTCAACACTGTGCAAACACCACAAAGTGTACTAACACATTGCTGGATGGTATTATCTACCTCACAGTAGGCTGTGTGGGCCAGCTTGTTGCTCCTAGACTATACATCTGTACAACATATTACTGTACTAGACAGCGTAGGCAACTGTGATACAGTGGTGTTTGCCTATCTCAACATGTCTTAGCATGGAAAAGACACTGCAAACAATGCTAGGCGGTTTTTAAACGTACGGGGCCACTGCCATCTGTACAGGTGCAGCTGACTGCGATGCTTTTATAAGTAATTACCTGCACTCGCAGGCTTGCTGATTTCAAAACAGCCCCGGCCAAGTTCTCGGGCACTGTGGAGACTTACCTGTTTGAGGTGTTCACTGAGGGCAATCCGCAAGCTGCCGTTCCTCCTGTTCAGCATCTCACAGGTCATGAGGGTGTAGAAGATGGCCGTGCACACCAACGGCATGCAGAAGTAGAACCCGAACAACCACCAGTCCTTCACACCCTGGTAAAACTGT